AAATTAATATTTTTATTTAAAAATTAATAAAATTAATATTTTTAAATAAAAAAAATATAAAATTAACATTTTTATTTGCATCTTTTCTATCCAATATCTTGTCGTGTCTAACAATGTAAATATCACCCAATATTTTCATCCACGTGTAAAACGACAAAAAGGGGAATAACATTATTCAGAATTTTGGCCTGATCAAGAGCTTCTTGAACTATTAGAGCTGAAATCCTGTTATATGCTCTCTAGTGAAGACTCATGCATACGGTTTTCCTTCACACCCTTTCAAAATCCCTGCAAAGAAAATATAATACAAACTCAATTAGCAAATATGGATTCCATCTTCCTCTACGGCATTATCCTTTTGTCTCTCTTTCTTTCAATCTTCCTCTTCTACTCCAAAAAAATCCAATGCTGCTCATCCTAACCTTCTGCCGGGAAAATGGGTTGGCCCATCATCGGCGAGAGTGTCGAATATCTCTTAACGGGGCGAAGGGGCCACCCTGAGAAGTTCTTGTATGACAGAATGGTCAAGTACTCTTCACAGGTCTTCAAAACTTCAAAATATTGTTTGAGCCCATGGCAGTCCTCTGTGGGGCAGCAGGGAACAAATTCTTATTCTCCAACGAGAATAAGCTTGTCACCTCTTGGTGGTCGGATGCCGTGAACAAGATCTTCCCTTCTTCTACACAAACAAGCTCTAAAGAGGAATCAAAAAGGTTGAGGCAAATGCTGCCCACCTTTCTCAAACCAGCAGCCTTGCAGATGTACATAGGCACTTTGAGGCCAGTTGGGATGGGGAGCAACAAGTAACGGTTTTTCCTCTGGCAAAAAGATACACTTGCTGGCTGCTTGCAAAGTTTTTTTGAGCATCGAGGACCCTAACTATCAGGGGCAAAACCCTCAAATCTACCCTAAAAAAATATCAGTAAGGACACATCCACCCCTCAAAAAAAGCAGGGACAAATTACCCCTCTAAATCATAAATCAATACAAATCATCATTTTTTCAACGAAAAGCGTTAGAATTCTGTTTGCCATGTCAACATTTTTTAATAGAAAACATTGAAAAATGAGTGATTTGTATTGATTTATGATTTGGAGGGGCAATTTGTCCTTGCTTTTTTTTTAAGGGTGGATGTGTCCCTACCGATATTTTTTGAGGGTGGATTCGAGGGTGCTGCCACCATCAGAGACGGAGCGAGTAAAGTTTGGGGGTGCGGGGAATTTATTGTTGAAGATTCAAGTTTTTAAGAGTATTTTTTATGACATTAAATTATTTTTTTTAAATCTTCTCTCTTATAAAAAGATTTATTTGTAGTCTTTTTTATTGATATATTTTTAGTAAAAATTAGAAATAAATGTATTTTTTTAAATTATAATAGAAACTGAAATATCATAGTAATAAATTATGCAATAGTCAATTGAAGAATAATAAAAAAAAGAGAAACATGTTTATTAGTTGAATCGTTAACAAATTGTTGGGGTGTAGGCAACGTGGATTTGATGAGTCAACAACAAAGATGATGTGGTAGATGACAAGTGTGCCACCTACACATAATCAAAGGGGGGTCCTTTTGGCAGGCACTTGTTTCACATGCAAGGAGCTACGTGCCACGGGCCATTATGCTTTGCCCAGCAAAGATGACTAGCAAGGATTTCCCTAGTAGATCTTGACAATAGATGTTTTTCAACCAAGTTGTGAGAAATCGAGCAGCAATGATAGGATATTGTGAACTCGACGATGATTACACAAATACGAAAAATGTAGTGGAAATTAGACATTCATTGTGATGAGGATAACATGGATAGTGTCTATAGGTATGCATATACTGATCAAATGTCACAACTTGGAAGATAAATTTAGACGTTATACATTGTAACATAGTAGTAATAGCAATAAACATGCCCTCTACTATCCTGAATGAAAACCATCACTCTATAGCGAGAGATCCTCATGTTGAAGATGCAAGACACGTTGACTTCCTCCTTCACACTTTCTCAAAAACAAAACAGAAAAACTTGAAAGTAGTGATAGGAGAAGGAAAGATGATCGTCGTGGGGGCTTGTGAGTGAAGAGCTTGATCCTGTTCTTGGTGTTAATCCCTTAACTTGATCGTTTGATGCTTAAGAAGATAACCCAAAATCTGGAACTGTAGTATGCTGTTTTCTAGCCATAATGTCATGTAGGGTTGGAAATACAAGAAATATAGGAAAGATATAGAATTTTTTGTGGGGTTTTTTTTGGTGTATTTAGCTTAAGGTTGAAGATGAACAGTTTTTTAGAATAAAAAGTAGGGTATGATACGTGAAAGATGGAAGTTGGCTCTATGCCTCTATTCAAGTTTGCCAAAAAAAATGCAGGAAAAATCAATATTTATTCATGCAAAGGCATTTTTGTAATTTTTGGTTGATGAGTCAAAGGTGCACAATGGCCTAATTGGACAGATTTGGGTTAGATGAAGATAGCTATTGAGCTTTAATTAGTTTTAGGCGCTGTTGACAGTTTTTTGAAGTGATGTCATGCATTGTCCAACAGTTTCAACGAAGAAGTGATAGTTCTAGTGAAGTACTACTAGTTCTAGCGAAGTCCAACCAACTTGCTAAAAGTTGCCCATTTCTAATAATTCTTTTAGCCATACAATATACCATGTTTAGAGGGCTCTTAAGTACAGTCAACAGAAAAGTAGATCTACCCAGGATTTTGGGGATCTTCCCAACAGATGTAATCATTTTCAATAGTTTCCCATACAACGTAACTTGTGTAGCCACCTTTACATTAAATGCAATTGCAAGTTGCTCATAGAAACTAAAACACAACATCTCTGATTGATTTTTAATGGTATTTTGAGTCTTGTAGTTAGCATCAAAGGGTGCAGTTTTAAGGACCAAGCTTAACCTCCATGTCTTTGCCACCCAGCCTTTCTCAGCAAAGTTTGGCAACATCGCCAACGTCCAAGCTTGGCTGACGTGAGTACCTTGCTTCACCAAGTGGGCAATGCCCATCCATCCATGCCTACCAAGCCATTACTCCCATAGTTTATCTCAAACAACTCTCATGAGTTTGGATTTGTGGGCTTGTATCCAACTGCAATGAAAACAAGATAAGACTAAATACTTATTTGCACAATTAAACATAAGATGTATAAATACATGCAACGAAGAAGGATACTCCTTTATATATCAAAGAGGATAGTGGAGATGAACATCGCTACGCTCTTTTATCCATTCATTGTGGTGGGCATTTGCATAATGCTCCATGCATGTTTGGCATTATGCCAAAATAATAAGTGGTGGTGTGGATGTGTGCTGCAATATCGTTGTCTCGATCTAAACATCGCTAGTCGAGGATACCTACAAACACGTAAAAATGTAGAGGGAGTATGTTATAGATTAGGATTACTGGCGACTAGTAATTTTGTCCCTTTATATGACAGAATGATGATGTGCATGATTGCCAACCATGTTGTATAAGTATCGTAGAGTCAGCCATGAATAGCTTTCCATAGCCAGAGGGGCAACAGTGACTAGCTTTGCCAATAGCTAGAGTGTGAACTATGTGGGATCGAAAGAGCATTCCCACTAATTCGCAAAGCTGCAAAAAATGGGATAAGTCTTATTAATCCAAGATTCTGCCATAACGATAAATGTGTGATAAAGATGGTTGGAGTTGTCTCCATGAAAGGGGGAACATCGGTTGCATCCATAGCCTTTGATACGACAAGGTATGATACCATTGGCAAACGTTGGCCCTTCTTGCTGTACCTACACTATCAAAGGGTGGTCCTGATTGTTGTTGCCTACTGGGCACCACACCACCATGCACAGGTGACCTCCAAAGGACCACCAGCTGCTACTTAATGGATTTTTATCGCTGGAGGGTAGCCATCCCAACCAATCGCAGGGTTGCAACTGTTACCGACCTCACGCTAATTGTACCGAGTTATGTTGACTCTTTGTCCATTTCCGAGAGCTGATGTAATGAAGATATGTAGAAGTACATAGCCTTTTGTCCATTGCTGGAGGCTAAATGAAATAGCAAATCTGGCCCTTTTTCCATCGTTGGGAGCTATGTGGATGTAATAAAATCAGCTCATTGCCCTTTGATGGGAGCCATGCAGGTGTAGCAAAATAGGCCCTTTATCTATTGTTGGAAGCCAAAGGAGATGGTGGTAAACACCACTGTAAGGGACATGGCTGCCAGAAATGTTGAGCCATGCTGCAGAGATGGATGCAGCAAAGTTTGGCCAAGCACGCAAAGATAGATTTTGAAGTGGACCATATTTATACTGTTTCTAGCAAAGTGGATGGATGTTGTTTCTGGCCATGCTTGCTTTGTCATGGCCATAGCAGAAAATAGAAGTGGCACATCCAATGTGGAGATAAATCTTGTGGGCTTTTTCTAGTCACAAGTCCGAAGTCAGTCTTGTTGACGTAGCACTACACACTACACACGTCACCCAATTCAAAGCTATACAAATTCATCCCTCAACTTTAGCCCCCCAAGCGAGCAAAGTTGTAACAACAAGTTTGGCTGCTTGGCATTGAGGGAGGCAACCATCTGGTTGAAACAGAAGTGGTATGCCAGATGCAACACCGACAGACTTTCACTACCAAATATATTGCATGCATCGAAGCAACTTTGACAGAGGCAAGATTAAAATGAGTTCAGCCATGCAAAGTGAGCGGTAACAAGCGTAGGTAACTCCACCATGGCTCGGTAAGCATTGATAAGACGAGTTGAGATTCCAGCTAAGATAATTGACGTTGCTGGCGAAGCCTTAGCAAGGATAAAATCAGGTACAGCCGGAACAAAATTTCAACCAAGAGTCAAGAGGCTTTGCCAAGGGTGAAACTCTTGGCAGTAGTTCCCATCGATGTAGATATAAGGCTGTTAAGTAAGTTCCAAGTTATATCTTTGCTAGAGTTCCAGAAGGGATCACACCGTTAGTACTTGAAGAAAAAAAATAATAATAATAAACCTTGGGTAGCCATTGTGAGAATATATATATATATATATATATATTTTTTTTTTTGCACTATCCACGTGCCATCCTAATCTAAAGGAAGATTGGAATTGCCTTTAATGTAGTTTTCTGCAATTGAGAAAAAGATAACTTTCCCTTTTTAAAATATGTAAGTCGAAATCTCCAGAAGAGGTCCCGCCATCATGGCTGCGTAAAAAGGGTAGACTTTAAAGGGGATTTGGTGTGGGCACATGTAGGAAAACATCATGCACCTTACTTACTATCCCTCAAACAATGCCCGACCATGTTGATATGCGACGAGTGGCAGTGATGATTGGCTGTGGCATTAAAGTCTGTTTTTAATCCTTGCTTTGTCTTCTTCAATCTTTTTTTCAAGATCTTCTAAATTTTTCTTTTCTTTGGAAGACCGTCAAACACCCTTTTTTTTTTTTTTTTGCACTGCCAGTCTCCATCATTTTCTCACAAAAATTCGTGGGTTTTGCGGGGTTGTGATTGTATGTTGATTTGGTGCGAGAAGTTTTCAGATCTGGTAAGCAACGACTCCCTTCTTTTTGCTTCTTTTTTTTTCTTTTGTGTAATGTTGCAGACTTCCCAACCTCCTCTGACCCAGATTTCTTCTTGTTTGCTTTCCTTTCTTCTCTTTCTCTTTCTCTATGCGTGGGAAGGTTCGAAAATGGCTAACCCTTTTCTAGTTGACAAGGTGCAGCCATACCATGACCATGGTACACTTTTTGAGATAGGTTTTTGGAGTTCAATGCTTGGTCAACCAAAAGGGCACTAGAAAAGCAAAAAGATCTGGTTTTGCTAGGAGTCTTCAAGGGCGGCGAAGTTGAAGCTGCATGGTTCCTTTCGCCAAGGAATGTGATGTGGGAAAGACGGGACTTGTTTCCAGTGCCGATTCACTTTGCTTTCCCTTCAGGCAAAATGGAGGATTGGATAGGTTAGGCCAAAGACATGCTGGCCGAAGATGGCTTCTCTTACTGGCCGTTAGGATACTCAAATCCGTGGCTTTGAGCCAGAGTCTACAGATCAATGGCAATGTTGAGTGCCTTCGCCGTTTGGTGAGGAGATGGTGCACAAGTACTCATTCCTTCATTCCATATATACATGTAGCTTTCCTTATAGCTTGGCTAAGCAAATTCATTTTTGGAGGTTTTTCGAAACATGAAATCATGGTTGAGTGCATCCCAATAGCCATCTGTTTGGCTAAAGGTGTAAAGTTATCGTTGGCCCCAGTAATGTTGGGTACACTCTACCACATGCTTGATTTGCTTCATACTGATGAAATTCTTGGTGCTGGATACTATATCATTGAGACACACACATGCTTGTCTTTGCTGCAAATGTTTACATGGGAGAGATTTTGTCCATATCATCTTGGCTGTGTTACCAACGGTAAGGCTTTAAAGGAATATCTGATGATAAAGTGCGGCTACACTAGTGGGACGACTCTGTTGGCTTGCTCCTGGATTAGAAAGAGGAAAGTAAAGGGTCAGGTGGTTCCAGAGATCAACAACTTCCTCGATGATTATGGTAGCTTCAATTTCCATGCATATAAGGCGATACCGGGGCATTTGCACCACCAGAGGTGAATTTCTTTGATAAGGCAGTGGTAGCGATGCCTGGAAACCAAATTGCGGACTTCATTGCAGGAGATTTGAAACATTTAGAGATGTTGGTGGTGATAACACCATCTATACTGCCATGTATCAGATGGCGAGGGACTTGGAGCTTGGAGCTTGGAGAGCTACTATCCAGAGAGAGTTGCACGACAGTTTGGCTATGATTAGGACATCCCTCCTGCTCCTCTTTCAGATAAATCAAATTGGAATAGGGCCATGCAGCCTTATATTGAGGAAGCTGCTTCAGCCATGTGGACTGAGGGTGCTGCGCCACTTACATTCTTTGACACCGCTAGGGTGGTGACTCTATCATCTTTAATGCTAAAATATTGGGAATCACTGCTGAAGAAATTTGGTACTTTCATTCGATTGATGCTAGAAATTGTGACACACAATGCTACTGCTCAGGATTGCGGTTGGGTTTTTACGCACAACAATTCTTTCCTAAGCTACTACAGCAAACACTCATAGGGTTTTCTTACTAGCGAGGCCAATGGGGAGTGGGTGCTTGTATGCCTCCCAATTCCGAGCATGGTGCAGGAAGAACAAAGCCAAGGCGAAAGTGTTGGCGAAGAGCAATAGCAGGGGCTAGCTGGCAGTGTTAGAGGTAAACAGGCTTTTATATATATATATTTATTTATTTATTTTAACTTTGGTTCTTCTTCCATAAACTTGGTTGAGTTAAGTATATGACAAGAGGTGCTTTGAATCATGCATTATTCTTACAACATTGTAGGTGAGGCTAGCCAAGCTACTCTTTCGAAGAAGCCGGTTCTGGGCAAGACAAAAAGCATAGCCTATCCATCGAGGGGCGGAGCACATAGGGCTTTCGCTTTGCCAACAAGTAGACAAAGCAAGGCCAAGGCATCCATGCCTTCAAAGTCAAAAGCCAGCAAAGAAAGAGAAACAAGCAATGCCAATGACAACGAGGAGAGCTCTTGGAGCAATTCGGATTCAAAGACGATCGAGCGGACCAAGAAACCGAAACCCATTTCCGGTAACAAGCACCCACATGAAAGACGCAGCAACTCGAGTTCCTTATTGCCGAGGGATGAATTTGTATAGTTTTGGAATTGGCAACGTATGCAATGCTGCGTCAGCAAGATCGGCTTTGGACTTGTGACTAGAGAAGGTTCACACGATTCATCTCTATGTCAAATATGCTATATCATACTTTTTCGTTGATAGCCGCAATGGAGTCAGCATTGTCAGAAGTCGTATTCATCATTATTTCTGCTATACATCACCGAAAGTGACATCTACTCACTTTGCTGGAAATGATACAAGCATATTCTACTTCGATGACGTTCTCTTAAACATAGCCAGACATGGCTACATTTGCTTCCATGACATGGCTGGACGTTTTTGACAGTCATGTCATCTACAACAATATTTGCTGCTACATCTTTCTAGCTCCCAACAATCGATAAAGAGTCGATTTTACTACATCTACATGGTTTCCGTCGACAGATAATAGGCTAATCTTGTTACATCTACACAGCTCTCGACGATGGACAAAGGGCTAGATTTGTCATCTCATTTAGCCTCCAACGATGAGCAAAAGGCTACATACTCCCACACATCTTCATTGCATCGACTTTCAAAAATGAATAAAGGGTTGAAATCTCTATGTTCTATCGCATTGGCTCTCGAAAAAAGACAAAGAGCCAACGTAACTTAGTACGATTAATGTGAGATCGATAACAGTTGCAACCCTGCAATTAGTTGGGATGGCTACCCTCCAATGATGAAAATCTATCAAGTTATGGCCAATGGTCCCTTGGTGGTCACTCGTGCATGGTGGTGTGTTGCCTAATGAGCAACAATAGCCATGGTCATCCTCTGACGGTGCGGGTATAGCAAGAAGGGCCAACGTTTGTCAGTGGTATAACACCTTATCATATCGGAGGCCATGGATGCGGCTGGTGTCCCCCCCCCCCTACATGGAGACAACTCCATCCATCTTTATCATCCATTTATTTCTATGGCAAAGTCTTTGGTTAATAAGACCTACCCTCGCTTTACGACCTTACTGATTAGTGGGAATACTTTTCCGATTCCACAGTCTACTCTCCAACCATGGGCAAAGCTAACCACTATTGTCCCTCTAGCTATGAGAAGTTATTTATGGCTAACCTTATAATACCTATACAACATGGCCAGCAGTCATGCACATCATTATTCTTTCATACAAAGGGACAAAATTACCAGTTGCCGATAATCCCAATCTATATTTTTACATGCTTTAGGTGTCATTGACCAATGATGTTTGGTTTGGAACAACAATATCATAGCATTATACAAATGTCCACCATGGTCAACAGATAAAAAGGCACAACGATGTCCACCCTCCTTATTCCTTTTGATATGCAAAGGAGTACCCTTATTCGCTACACATATTTATGCATCTCACATTTAATCATTTGAATAAACATTCACTCTTACCTTGTTCTCGTTGCAAATGAGCACAAGCCCATGAATCCCAACTCATTGGAGTTACTCCAGATAAACTATGGAAGTAGTGGCTTGGCAGGCATGGATGGATGGACGTTGCCCACCTGGCGAAGTGAGATATCTACTTCAGCCAAGCTTGGATGGCTGGTAATGCTGCCTGACTTTGCCAGGAAGGGTTGGGTGGTAGAAACGTGGAGGCCAAGCTTGATCCCTAAAACCGTGCCATTTTATGCTAACTAGAAGACTTAAAATCTCATTAAAAATCAACCAAGGGTGCTATATTTTAGTTTCATCAACAAGTTGCAACTATATTTAACGCAAAGGTGGCTGCACAAGTTACACTACTTGCGAAACTATTAAAAAAGATTACATCTGTTGGGAAAATACCCAAAATCCTAGGTAGATCCACTTTTCTGCTGACTGTACTAAAAAAACCACCTAAAATGGTGTTTCATATGGTTAGAAGAATTACTCGAAATGAGCAACCTTTAGCAAGTTAGCTGGACTTTACTGGGACTAACAGTACTTCACTGGGACCATCAGTTCTTCGCTAAAACTATTGGATAATTTATGATATCATTTCAGAAAGCTGTCCACAGCATCTAAAACCAATCAAAACTAGACAGTTGTCCTCACCTAACCCAAATCTGTCCAATTAGACCACTACTCACCTCGACTCATCAACTAAAGATCACAAAAATGCCATTGCATACATAAATATTGATTTTTCCCCCATTTTTCAACAGATGTGAACAGACCAGACTGATCCAGCTTTCATATCCCACTTTCCACGTCCCAAAAAATCCATTTTTTTCCATTGGAAAAATTGTTCATCTTCAACCTCTTGCCCTATACATTGAAAATCCCCAGAGATCTCTATTTTTCTCATATTTCCTACACTTCCAACCCTATAAAAAAAATACTTTAGCCTTGCAAGATATCATGGTTGAAAGACAACATACTGTAGTTTTGGACTTTGGGTTATCTTCTTAAGCATCAAATGATCAAGTTGAAGAGTTAGTATCAAGAACGGGATCAAGTCCTCCATTTATAAGCCCCCACGATGACAATCATTTCTTCTCCATCACTACTTCCAAGTTTATCCAAAAACTTGATGCACTAAAACCACTCTAGCAAGTGTACTAGTCGCTTCAAATAATATAATGATAAGTAGAGTGTCAAACCCATGAGGATTGCAATTAATTAAGTACCAAAATAATTAATCTAAATTTATTTGAATAATTGAAAAAAAGAAGCTTTAATTAAAAATGATAAAAAGGAAATAACAATTAAAATAAAACTAACCAAGATATGAGGTATCAAAGCATTGACTTGACCATAATCAATTAACATGGATTTTCAATTATTATACTTTTAAGATGTTACTATTCATGTGACAGATCTCCTCTCGGTCTCAATTATGCTCTCTAAATCAGTTTTAATGGTGATCAAGCATTAAAAAACATTAAGAACAATAATATATACTCATCATGGAATAACAAATCTCAAAAGTGTAAAAATCATAAAAACCTATATTGAATTGAATAAGTTACACCTTAGCCCTAATTGACTAAATTTGTTCATAATAAAAATAATAAAACTTGAAAACATAATTATGAACATTCGAATGTCAAACAATAGATAAAAGAACCTAAGAAAAACAAAATCCAATTTTAGAAAATTAAACTCCTTGATTTTCTATTGTTGATGAAACCTCTATCTTGATCTATAATAATACCGTAAAGAGGGCTGCTACCAACCTTCAAAACTCTCACAATTTTGAATTTGGATAGGTATTTATAGGATTTTAGAAACTCTAATTGAGATAGAAGCAGAACCCACACTCAAAATAATAAATTAGACACAGATTTTGTGAAAATTACCTAAGGTGTCAACACCTTCAATAAGGTGCCAATACCTTGTGTTCGGCGCACTACAGTTTTTGGCCTTCTAAGCAATTTCTGTTAATGGTAAAATTACAATCCTGGCCGTTGACTTCTAGATTCTGCACAACTTAATCCTCAAATTTTTTATCTCTGCAATTTGCTCCTAAAAATTATGATTTCTTCCAATTAAATCCTTTCCTACAGAAAAAATGAAAATTAGATAAAATCAAGTAAAATCTTATAAAACTCATCCATATATCAATAATATCAAAGTAACAATTTCACATTAATATTTATATAAATTCAACTTATCAAATTCCCCCAAAGTTAAGAACAATATCAAGGTAACGATTGCACTTAGCATGTGCAACAAGCCTTTAAACCCCTAGGTCACCTTAGTAGCCTAGTTATGTCTCGTGAGGGTTTTCAATAGGTCTACCCACAAAATCCCAATGCAAGAATGCCACTATATGATATGCAAGCATAGAAAATTTAGGAATTAAAGTTCAATTAGATACAAAATCTCAAATATTCTCATACACTCACTTAAAGTCAAATACTCCATCCTATTCTTCACACCACTTACCAAAAGATTTAGCTCATGAGCACTTAGTGTGTGTGAAAATTCATAGTAAGAAATCTTGAGTTTAGACCTTCACACCTTAGCACTTATTATTATTTTTTTCTTTTTCTCCCTTTTTTTTTTGTGCCGAGTTTCCTTAGGTTTTCTAAGTTACCCATGTAACAAGCTTTCTATCAATGACTCCCAAACCAGTTGGCTTTAAAGCATTAGGTGAAAAGACACCCCTAAGAACATAATTACTCAAATAACAAAGGCCATGAAACATTCGACTTTTCTTTCTTTCTTTCTTTCTTTCTTTTTTTTTCCCAGCCATACAACACATTCTTCCCTAAGTTATCACTTGTCTTTTGATGTGAATACTAACATTTGTGATTAAAGCACCTGATTACTCAACAAATCATTAACTTAAAGTGCTTTGCATACTCATATTTTAAGTCACCATTTGACGTAAAAGTTGACATGGGTCTCATGCCTAACCCCTAGTTACTAAGCAACTAAAAACATTGGAGTAGAAATAAGCAAACTCTTTTCTGTGTTGGCTTCTTTTTTTTTTTTTATGTGTTTTTTAGGTGCTATTAAATCTTCTCTCTAAACTTCTCACTACAAACTTGTGCTCAAGTAAAATAGAATACTCATGAACTTAAATTTTATCACAATGGTGCTACTTTTCAGATTTTGTATCTCCTCTAAAATTAAAATATTTTAGAAGTTTTTGAATTTTCAACTCAAGAATATTCAATTCCTTAACACTAATTGGA